AATACTCACGAAAAATAAATGAAAAATTCGAAAAAATTTCGAAAATTTCGAACCAAAAAGAACAAAAATTCGGCCCCTCAGCAAAAGGCAAAACTGAAAAAAAAAAAAGATAGATAGATAAAGACACGATCAGCACCTCTCAATGAAAGCACCGATGATGACGGATCGTGTTGTTATCTATACGGGTTGTGAATAAACTGCGCACTCAGGGCCTTCGTTTATCCACGATAGGTGTATCTAACAGACGCACTACAGCCTTCTCCTAGATACCGTGACTTCAAGACGCTCTAATGGCCTTCTCTCCGACACTGTATGTAAACACGCACTAACGGCCTTGTTTAAACACACGTTAAGAACATCAGTTCCCCCTCAAGATTGGCTCACCAATTCAATACTCCATTCAAGACATGTCAATATGATGAGGTACATGGGGGTATTTATAGTTGCAAAAATAAATCTAAGTCTAACTATTCTAGATCTCCTAAATCTTGCAATAATAGAAATCCTAACACTAGAAAGCAATAAAATCCTAAATCTACCAAAATACTATTGCTTGGCTTGCACACCAAGCAATTCTAGAAGCTTGCGCCCCAACTTGTTCGGCCGCCTTCCACGCGTGCGCACCGCCCTTGGCGCTTTCCTACTCCTTGGGCTGCTAGGCGTCGCGTGCCTTGCCTTGCACGCACGCGCGCACTGCCCCGCTCGCCTAGTCCTTCGATGACTAGGTCTCGCGCGCCTGCTGCGCCACTCCTATTCCTTGTAGGACCATGCTTCAAGCCCATATCCTCTATTCCTATTCCTACTAGGAATATGCTCCCGGTTACGTTTCCTGATCTTCCGAGGATTACTCCCGTCACCGATCTTCCACACGCGTTCCGACACTCAACTACTTCTCCTATTCCTGCGGGGATTAGTATTCGCGTCTTGCCTATTCCTACGAGGATTAGGCTTGCCGCCTCGTTCCTGCATTGTGCCTCGCGCGTGTCGCCGTGCGCCCCGCGCTCGTCGTCCAGCACTCCTATGCCTACGCGGTCTAGGCGATCGACCGTGTTGCCCCACGCGTCGCTGCCTATCGTCTGCACATCTCTGCCACCTCCGTGCATACTGCGCACGCCCGCCAGTCCTATGCCCGCACGGCTTAGGCTTCGCGCATCCGTCTCGCACTCGCGCGCCTTCGCACCCTTGTTGGCCTCTTCGCGCGCGTCCTCGCCTGATTGTCGCGCACGCCCGACGTCTTGCCACTGTCATCATACTTGCTCGTGCGCCTATGCGCACTCGCTTTCCATCCGCTGCAGTCCCTCGCGCGCATCATCCTTCCAACATCCACCCCCTGCGCGCCACTTCGCCTAATACCCAAGCGCCATGCGCGTCTACGCCAATGCACGTGTGCGCGCCTTTGTCTACTGCCTTGTACGTGCCACTTCTCATGTGCTCGAGTGCCCTGCATAGGAGCTCGTATCCGTCTCTTAGGCCATACTGGCATCATTTTGGCCCTATTTTCAGCCTCCTCGAGTCCTCTTGGCTCTTGGCCCTTCTTGTCACAGGGGTACGGAACCCACTTCCGTATCACTGACTGCCGACGCGTTGCTGCCGCTGCGTGCGGGCAGCGCGGCCACGGCCGGCCCTTGCCGGCCGTCCGGCAACAACTCTCGACCAAATCAACTTCAAACAACATAATCTGACATGGCATGAACATGACTACTGAAATAACTTAAAAACATGAAATTTGCACGATAAACTGAATATGGCCGTGGCGAGCGCACCGTGCGCCGCCGACGGCGTTATGCCGTTTCTCGACCGACTTGACTTTTACCTCGGCAACTCAACATCAACTGAACATGAACATCATTTATTGAACAAAATAACACGAAGTGTTCGAAAGACTTGAGCTTAACATGCTTGCTACAAGTGCCCGGCCCGTGGTGCGCACTACGTGCGCGACCACGTCCCCTTGGCCGAAACACCGTATGAACATGAACATACATCGAGCGACACCATACAACTGAACATGATATCACATAATTTAACTAAACATGATCAGTTTGCTCGAAGGATTTCTGAAGTAAAACATGATGGCTCGACATGAATTATACACACGGCCGTACGACTTAAAGTCGTTACATGAGCATGTCTTCGACAAAACAGAACTAACTTATCATTAACATAATCAATTCAAAGGTAAGCTGGTGTTACCTTTGAGATCCTCGACTGATCACACCTCCGTGCGTAAGGGAAGCTCTCGGTGCGCGCGGTGTGTGCGATGCTAGCCTCTTGCCGTGCGTGCGGTGATTGCTAAGCTATCTTGTGTGAGCTTGATAAATATTAAGGCACTCTACACTCTCTCTCACGCTAAGTATACTTCAGAATATATATATATGTTAAGCATATGGGGAAAATCTCCCACATAACCCATATATATATATATCACCGTCCCAAATTATGGGTGATGATAAACTTTTGTGGTTTTCTCAAAACATGCCACTTGGAGTGTAATTAGGGACTTAAGATGGTGACTAAGCATATGAAATTTCCACCTCATGCTTAATACTAATTGAGACTTCCCTTGCATGAAGAATTGCTCAAGGCAATTTGGAACAAATAATAGAGAAGTTACGTACGGCTTTAGGAAAAAGCTTGGAGATAATTCACTCAAACTCACGGCTTATTAGGCTTTAAGTGTGATTAATTTGCTAATTAATCACTAACTTATGTTTAATTATTTATTAAACATAATGCTTACTTACCAAAATTATTCCAAACGTAAACGGGACGTCGAAAATAATTTCGGTTAATCTTGACTGAAATAATTAATTCCAAAAATTAATACTCGACAATATTAATATATCGGAACTAAAGCATGATTTATACTAATAAACTGACGGGATATTACAATCCTCCCTCCTTAAGAATTTCCGTCCTCGGAAATTCAAAACATAACTGAATATACATGAACTATGTACATAAAACAAGAAAATATGTACATCAAAACTGAAAATCTGGAAAACGAACGCGAATATCGGACTCCGCCTCCCAAGTAGCTCCGTGGGGATCCCACTGAATACGCACGAGGGGAACATCTCGCTCCAGAGCCGACGAACCTGACGGTCTAGTCCAGCTACCGGTCGCTCCTCGTACGAATGATCTGGCTGAACCTGAATATCTTAATAAGGAATGACATGATCGGGGTCGCACACGTACTTACGCAACATAGATGCGTGAAAAACATTATGAATGCCTGATAACTCGGGAGGTAGGGCTAATCGATACGCGACCTCACTTACTCGCTCGGGAACCTCGAACGGACCGATGAATCGAGGGTGCAGCTTCCCTCTCTTTCTGAATCGAACGACTCTGCGAATCGGACGAACTCTGAGAAAAGCTGGCTCGCCAACCTCAAACTGAATGTCTCGTCGATGATGATTGGCTGAAGATTTCTGTCGACTCTGAGCTGTTTTGAGTCTTTGCCAGATCAACTCGACCTGATCTACTGTCTCCTCGATCAACTTGGGACCGAGTACTCGTCGCTCTCCGACGTCGTCCCAATAAAGAGGGGAACGACATTTGCGACCGTAAAGTGCCTCGTAAGGAGCCATATGAATAGAAGAATAATAGCTGTTGTTATACGCGAACTCGGCATACAGCAACAACGACTCCCACTTAGCACCCCTGTCAACAACCAAAGCGCGAAGCATATCATCGAGCGTCTGAATGGTCCGCTCGGACTGACCATCTGTCTCTGGATGGTATGCTGAACTGAACTCTAGCTTCGTGCCCATTGCCTCGTGTAAACTGTGCCAGAATCGACTAACGAATCTGGGATCTCTGTCTAATACGATAGTAACGGGCACTCCGTGGAGTCGGATGATCCCACGGGTATAAATCTCAGCCAACTTGTCCAAAGACATCTTCATCGAAACGGGAAGGAAATGAGCGACCTTAGTCAATCTGTCGACCACGACCCAGATAGCGTCGTGATGCTCAGACGACCTCGGTAATCCCGTAACGAAATCCATCGTAACTTCCTCCCACTTCCACCTCGGAATCGGCAGTGGCTACAGGAGGCCGATCGGACTCTGATGTTCGGCTTTGACTTGCTGACAGGTAAAAAATCTCATGACGAACTCGGCGATGTCTTTCTTCATCCCTCGCCACCAGAATGACCCTTTCAGGTCATGATACATCTTCGTGCTCCCTGGATGGGCTAGATAGGGTGCAGTATGAGCCTCTGATAAAATCTCTTTTCGCAACGCCTTGACTTTCGGGACCACGATCCTGTCTCTGAAATCTAGGGCACCATCGGCACCTAGCTGAAAACCCTCGACGCCTCCGGCGCGAACCTTGGCATCCATGACACGAACGAACTCGTCAGAAGCCTGCTCTCGCTGGATTCTCTCTCTCAGCGTCGGCTGAATCTGCATGGCACTGACACTGGCACTGACACTCCCCGAAATGGCTGTGGGAAGTGCATCGATCGCCTGAAGCTGCATCCGGGCAAACTCCTGAATCAACGGACTCTGTTGAGTAACGACGTACGTCAAGTCACCCATCACCTTTCGGCTTAGGGCGTCAGCAACGACGTTCGCCTTTACCGGATGATACTGAATCGAGCAATCGTAATCCTTGACGAGCTCGAGCCAACGGCACTGTCCCATGTTAAGCTCCTTCTGAGTAAAGATATACTGCAAGCCTTTATGATCTGTGAAAATCTCACAATGACCGCCGCAAAGATAATGTCGCCAAATATTGAGAGCATGAACGACTGCTGCTAACTCCAAGTCGTGCGTCGGATAATTCTGCTCATGCGGCTTAAGCTGACGTGAAGCATACGCAACGACTTGGCCATCCTGCATAAGGACACATCCCAAGCCCTATCTCGAAGCATCGCTGAAGATGGTGAAACTCTGAGAAAGATCGGGAATAGTCAACACCGGTGCTGAAGTTAATCTCCTCTTGAGCTTCTGAAAGCTCGCCTCACATCGGTCGGTCCACTCGAACCTCACATACTTCCTCGTCAGCTGGGATAGAGGGAGGGCAATTTTTGAAAATCCCTCAATAAACCTGCGATAGTAACCAGCTAGACCGAGAAAACTGCGAACCTCGGACGGACTCCTCGGTGTCGACCAGTTCTGAACCGCTGAGACCTTGGAAGGATCCACCTCGATACCTGCCTGAGTAATAACATGACCCAAAAAGGCTACTCGTTGGAGCCAGAACTCGCATTTAGAGAATTTTGCAAAAAACTTTTCTCGTCTGAGGGTTTCAAGAACCACCCTCAGATGCTCCTCGTGCTCCTTCTGGCTCTTCGAGTAAATAAGAATATCGTCAATAAAGACAATAACAAACTGATCGAGGCAGGGATGGAAAATATGGTTCATCAGGTCCATGAAAACCGCTGGAGCATTACTGAGACCGAATGGCATGACAACGAACTCGTAATGACCGTAACGAGTTCTGAAAGCGGTCTTGTAATATCCCAACTTTTATCAGTATAATAATAGTTCAGTTCCGATATTATTTTTCGGAGTTAAGTAATTTCAGTTATTTCAGTCAGAATTACCGGAACTATTTTCGACGTACCGTTTACGTTCGAAATAATTTTGGTAATTTAGCATTATGTTTAATTAGATAATTAAACATAATTAAGTGATTAATTTAATTTAATCACGAGATTAGCAAATGGTCCGGATTTTTATTCCGAGTCCAAGTTCGATGCCGTGCGTGTGCGAGGTCCGGTCCGAGGCTTCACGTGTAGCCGTGCGGAGTGTCCAAGACATGGTGCTGATATCCGTGCATTTCCTTGGCATTTT